TATCAGAGTTTGAAGACCACCTTGCTGAAATAAGGCATGCAGACACGACAAGAGAAAAAAAGAATAAAAAGGAATGAACAAAACCTCCAAGAAATGTGGGACTTCATAAAAAGACCGCGCGTACAATCGATCGGAGTACCTGAAGGAGACAGGAAAAATGGAAACAAGTTGGAAAACACACTTCAAGATATTATCCAGGAGAACTTCCCGAACCTCGCAAGACAGGCCAATATGCAAATTCAGGAAATACAGAGAACATCACTAAGATATTCCATGAGAAGATCAACCCCAAGACACATAATCATCAGATTCTCTAAGGTCAAAATGAAGGAAAAAATGTTAAAGGCAGCCAGAGAGAAAGGCCAGGTCATCTACAAAGGGAAGCCCATCAGACTAACAGTGGCCCTCTCAGCAGAAACTCTACAAGCCAAAAAAGATTGGGGGCCAATATTCAACATTCTTAAGGAAAAAAATTTTCAACCCAGAATTTTGTATCTGGCCAAACTAATCTTCATAAGCAAAGGATAAATCCTTTCCAGACAAGCAAATACTGAGGGCTTTCATTACCACCAGGGCTGCCTTGCAAGAGCTCCTGAAAGATGCAGTAAATATGAAAAACAAAAACCAGTACCAGCCACTGCAAAACCACATCAAAATATAAAGACCAATGACACTATGACAAAACTGCATCGATCAGTGCACAAAATAAACAAATAGCATCATGATGACAGGATCAAATTGACACATTACAATACTAACCTTAAATGTAAATGGGCTAAATGCCCCAGTTAAAAGACACAGACTGGCAAATTGGATAAAGAGTCAAGTTCCATTGGTGTGCTGTATTCAGGAGACCCGTCTCATGTGCAAAGACACACATAGGCTCAAAATAAAGGGATAGAGAAAAATTTACCAAGCAAATGGAAAGCAAAGAAAAAAAAAAAAGTAGGGTTTGTAATCCTAGTCTCTGACAAAACAGACTTTAAACCAACAAAGATAAAAAAAAAAGACAAGGGTATTACATAATGGTAAAGGGAACAATTCAACAAGAAGAGCTAACTGTTCTAAATATATATGCACCCAATACAGGAGCACCCAGATTCATAAAACAAATTCTTAGAGACCTACAAAGAGACTTAGACTTCCACACAATAATAGTGGAAGACTTTAACACCCCACTGTCAACATTAGACAGATCAACAAGACAGAAAATTAACAAAAATATTCAGGACTTGAACTCTCAGCTCGGATCAAGTGGACCTAACAGACATCTACAGAAATCTCCACCCAGATCAACAGAATATACATTCTTCTCTGTGCTACATGGCACTTCTTCTAAAATTGACCACATAATTGGAAGTAAAACACTCCTCAGCAAAAGCAAAAGAACTGAAATCATAGCAAACAGTCTCTCAGACCACAGTGCAATCAAATTAGAACTCAGGATTAAGAAACTCACTCAAAACCACACAATTACATGGAAATTGACCAACCTGCTCCTGAATGACTCCTGGGTAAATAATGAAATTAAGGCAGAAATCAAGAAGTTATTTGAAACCAATGAGAACTAAGAGACAATGTACCAGAATCTCTGGGACACAGCTAAAGCAGTGTTAAGGGGGAAATGCCCATATCAGAAAGCTAGAAAGATCTCAAATCCACACCCAAACATCACAATTAAAAGAGCTAGAGAGACAAGAGCAAACTAATCCAAAAGCTAGCAGATGACAAGAAATAACTAAGAGCAGAATTGAAGGAGATAGAGACACAAAAAACTCCCCCAAAAATCACTGAATCCAGAAGCTGTTTTTTTGAAAAAATTAGCAAAATAGATAGACCACTGGCTAGACTAATAAAGAAGAAGAGAGAAGAATCAAATAGAAACAATAAAAAATAATAAGGGGATATCACCACTGATCCCACAAAAATACAAACTACCATCAGAGAATACTATCAACACCTTGATGCAAATAAACTAGAAAATCTAGAAGAAATGGAGAAATTCCTGGACACATACACCCGCCTAAGACTAAGCCAAGAAGAAGTTGGATCCCTGAATAGACCAATAGCAAGTTCTGAAATTGAGGCAATAATTAATAGCCCACCAAGCAAAAAAAGCACAGGAGTAGACAGATTCATGGCCGAATTCTACCAGAAGTACAAAGCAGAGCTGGTACCATTCCTTCTCAAACTATTCCAAACAATTGAAAAGGAGGGGCTCCTCCCTAACTCAATTTATGAAGCCACCATCATCCTGATGGACCAGGATGATGACACAACAAAAAAAGAAAACTTCAGACCAATATCCCTGATGGACATCGATGCAAAAATCCTCAATAAAATACTGGCAAACCGAATTTGGCAGCACATCAAAAAAGGTATCCAACATGATGAAGTTGGCTTCATCCCTGGGATGCAAGGCTGGTTCAACATATGCCAATCAATAAACGTAATCCATCACATAAACAGAACCAAAGACAAAAACCACATAATTATTTCAATAGATGCAGAAAAGGCTTCTGATAAAATTCAACATCCCTTCACATTAAAAACTCTGAATAAACTAGGTATTGATGGAGTATATCTCAAAATAATGAGAGCTATTTATGACAGACCCACAGCCAATATCATATTGAATGGACAAAAGCTGGAAACATTCCCTTTGAAAACCAGTACAAGACAAGGATGCCCTCTCTCACCACTCCTATTCAACATAGAATTGGAAGCTCTGGCCAGGGCAATTAGGCAAGAAAAAAAAGTAAAGGGTATTCAAATAGGAAGAGAGGAAGTCAAATTGTCTCTGTTTGCAGATGACATAATTTTATATTTAGAAAACCCCATCATCTCAGTCCCAAAACTCCTTAACTGATAAGCAACTTCAGCAAAGTCTCAGAATACAGAATCAATGTGCAAAATCCTAAGCATTCCTTTACACCAACATAGACAAGCAGAGGGCCAAATCGTGAATCAACTCCCATTCACGATTGCTACAAAGCAATACCTAGGAACACAGCTAACAAGGGATATAAAGGACCTCTTCAAGGAGAACTACAGACCACTGTTCAAGGAAACAAGAGAGGACACAAACAAGTGGAAAAACATTCCATGGATAGGAAGAATCAGTATCATGAAAATGGCAATACTGCTCAAAGTAATTTATAGATTCAACACTTTTCCCATCAAACTACCACTGACATTCTTCACAGATTTAGAAAAAACTACTTTAAATTTCATATGGAATCAAAGAAAACCCTGAATAGCCAAGACAATCCTAAGCAGAAAGAACAAAGCTGGAGGCATCACGCTACCTGACTTCAAACTATAATACAAGGCTACAGTAACCAAAACAGACATGTAGACCAATGCAACAGGACAGAGACCTCAGAAATAAGACCACACATCTACAACTATCTGATCTTTGACAAACCTGACAAAAACAAGCAATGGGGAAAGGATTCCCTATTCAATAAGTGGTGCTGGTAAAACTGGCTAGCCATGTGCAGAAAACTGAAACTGGACCCCTTCCTTACACCTTATACAAAAATTAACTGAAGATGGATTAAAGACTTAAATGTAAAACCCCAAACGATGAAAACTCCAGAGGAAAACCTAGGCAATACCATTCAGGACATAGGCATGGGTGAAGACTTCATGACAAAACACCAAAAGCAATTGCAACAGAAGTCAAAATGGACAAATGGGATCTAATTATACTAAAGAGCTTCTGCACAGCAAAAGAAACTAGCATCAGAGTGAACAGGCAACCTACAGAATGGGAGAAAATATGTGCAGTCTACCCATCTGATAAAGGTCTAATATCCAGAATTTACAAGGAACTTAAACATATTTACAAGAAAAAAACAGACAACCCTATCAAAAAGTGGGCAAAGGATATGAAGACACTTCTCAAAAGAAGACATTTATGCAGCCAAAAAACATATGTAAAAAAGCTCAATGACTGGGCGCGGTGGCTCACACCTGTAATCCCAGCACTTTGGGAGGCCAGGGCAGGTGGATCACGAGGTCAGGATATCGAGACCATCTTGGCCAACATGGTGAAACCCCGTCTCTACTAAAATACAAAAAATTAGCCGGGTGTGGTGGCGCATGCCTGTAGTCTCAGCTACTTGGGAGACTGAGGCAGGGGAATTGCTTGAACTCGGGAGGCAGAGGTTGCAGTAAGCCAAGATCGCACCACTGCACTCCCGCCTGGCAACAGAGCAAATCTCCATCTAAAAACAAAAACAAAAACAAAAAACTCAACACCACTAATCACACTGATCATCAGAGAAATGTAAATCAAAACCACAATGACATGCCATCTCACATCAGTCAGAATGGCAATTATTAAAAAGTCAAGAAACAATAGATGCTGGGGAGGCTGTAGAGAAATAGGAATGCTTTTACTGTGCTGGTGGGAGTGTAAATTAGTTCAACCATTGTGGAAGACAGTATGGTGATTCCTCAAGGATCTAGAACCAGAACTACCATTTGACCCAGGAATACCATTAGTGGGTATATACCCAAAGGAATGTAAATCATTCTACTATAAAGACACACGCACACATAGGTTTATTGCAGCATTGTTTACAATAGCAAAGACACGGAACCAACCCAAATACCCATCAATGACAGACTGGATAAAGAAAATGTGGCACATATACACCATGGAATACTATGCAGCCATAAAAAGGAATGGCATCTGCCAGGCATGGTGGCTCATGCCTGTAATCCCAGCACTTTGGGAGGCCAAGGTGGGTGGATCACAAGGTCAGGAGTTTGAGACCAGCCTGGCCAATATGGTGAAACCCCGTCTCTACTAAAAATACAAAAATTAGCCAGGCATGGTGGTGGGCACCTATAGTCCCAGCTACTCGGGAGGCTGAGGCAGGAGAATCGCTTGAACCCAGGAGGCGGAGGTTGTAGTGAGCCGAGATAGTGCCACTGCACTCCAGCCTGGGCAACAGAGTGAGACTCTGTCTCTCAAAAAAAAAAAAAAAGGCATTTGTAAACTGTCATGACCCTGGTGGCAGCATAGCAGTAAGAACGACCAGAGTTCACTCTCGTGGCCATCTTGGTTTTGTTCCTCAGAAAATTAAATGTCGTCAGAAGAGTGAGACGCTCAGGAGGATGAATTGCTGGCCCCGGCAAGTATTTATTATGATGGAGATGAATTTAGAAAAGCGGAGTCTGTCCAAGGTGGAGAAACCAGGATCTATTTGGATTTGCTACAGAATTTCAAGATATTTGTGAGCGCTATCTGCTCTATGGGAAGAACACCATGGCAGCATGATCCTGTTTGCCTGCATGCAATTTCTTAAGGAAGATACCCTACTATACCTGAATATTGTCTCTCCTTTTGAGCTCAAGATTGGTTCTCACAAAAATGTGCAGAGAAGGACAGCTCAAGCCTCTCCCAACACAGACCTAGTTTTTGGAGGAACTTCTGGATCTGATACAGACCAAGAGGAAATTGTGGACGAGACAGCTGTGCAGGATGTGGAATCATTGTTAAATATGATCCGGGAAATGTTGGACTTTGATCAAGCTCAGCAGATAAAATGCTTTAGTAGTAATTTGTTCCTATGCAATATCTGTTTCTGTAACAAGCTGGATAGTGAATGCATGTACTTCTTGGAGTGCAGGCATGTGTACTGCAAAGCCTGTCTGAAGGACTACTTTGAAATCCAGATCAGAGATGGCCAGGTTCAATGCCTCAACTGCCCAGAACCAAAGTGCCCTTCGGTGGCCACTCCTGGTCAGGTCAAAGAGGAGCTAGTGGAAGCAGAGTTATTTGCATGTTATGACCGCCTTCTTCTCCAGTTCACCTTGGACCTGATGGCAGATGTGGTGTACTGCCCCTACCCATGCTGCCAGCTACCTGTCATGCAGGAGCCTGGCTGCACCATGGGTATCTGCTCCAGCTGCAATTTTGCCTTCTGTACTTTATGCAGGTTGACCTACCACGGGGTCTCTCCATGTAAGGTGACTGCAGAGAAATTAATAGACTTACGAAATGAATACCTGCAAGCAGATGAGGCCAATAAAAGACTTTTGGAACAAAGGTGTGGTAAGAGGGTGATTCAGAAGGCACTGGAAAAGATGGAAAGTAAGGAATGGCCAGAGAAAAACTTCAAGAACTGACCATGTTGTGGAACTCCCATAGAGAAATTAGATGGATATAACAAGATGACATGTACTGGCTGTATGCAATACTTCTGTTGGATTTGCATGAGTTCTCTCTCTAGAGCAAACCCTTACAAACATTTCACTGATCCTGCTTCACCACGTTTTAACCAGCTGTTTTATGCTGTGGATGTTGATGAAGATATTTTGGAAGATGAGATTGAAGACTAGTTAACTACTTGCTCAAGATATGGAAGTGGACTGGTTTTCCCTAATCTTTTGTCAAGTACACAAAGTAACTCTGCAGGATATTTAGAGTACTATTCATTCACTCTTCCTGTGTAGAAGATATGGAAGAAAAGGTTTATATTTTCATGTGGTACTACTGAAGAGGGTGCATTCATATATTTTTTAATGTAAATTGAGAAAAATTATAAGCCAAGGGTTCAGAAAATGAAACTACAGAATATTAAATATTATAATGTGTCCAAAGCTCTGAGTAGTTAAAAATTAAATATTTCTTTCCTTCCCCAAGCTTTACGTAAGGAGAAGAGGGGTCAAGAGTTAAACTTACAGACCCTTTGTCTCTGAGAAGCATTCCTCTAAGACATTCTGTTGGAGCTCCCTCAGTACTACTCCTTACAACCGGGGTAGGTAGAAGAAGCCTTATGAAAATTACACTGAGAATCTGATCTCATTTACTCCACATTAATCACATTCCTACCAACCTAAATTTCTGCCAAGTCAGTTCTCTTTGGAGGAAGCCCTTTACTCTGTAACTCACTGGATGATCCAGTGTCATTTTAACCTGCTTTCCAGAATGGAAATTTATAATAATTTAAAAATATGTTTTAATACCACAAATGCTGTGGGGCACTTGATGTTTATTAGTAGTGTATATGGTCCACTGGTTTCAGGCCAAATCTAGAATTTAGTGATACTGGCTTAGAAGAATTTAAGTTCTATTCAACTTTCCTGGGTGTTAGAGCCTAGATTCAAAATGACTTGTCTTTGCTACTTTTGTTCCACATTCTCTCTCTTTACCATTGCTCTACCTTCTATTTGTAAGGACAATTTTAATATCAATTCCAGCAACACATGTTTTTATTTCCTCTGCTGGAATAGGAGAAAGCTTAATATATTCCCAATCTGAATGTTCTTGAATTATCTGCATTTACCACTGTATATGCATATAGTGACAGTATAACCTGTCTGTACCACTGTAGTTCCAGTCCTAATTTTCTGAATTATTTTTAAAGGTCTTCTCTAACAAGCTATGGAAATTTAGCTTCATACTCTTTTTTTGCAACAGCAGTGTTTTGGGTGATAATTTTGAATTGATACCTGTTCCTTTTTCTGGGTCTTGTTGGCTTTTCGAAAAATTGTCTTTCCTTATCATTGGTGGGTGGACTTGATAGCAAAGTAAAATTTTTTGGAAAAGAGGACAGAAAAATTGAACTGCAGCTTGAGAACATATTCTTTTTTTCCTACTTTGTCATTGAAAATTGAGGAATCGCTTTTGACTGTTTTAGGTGTGTGTGTCCTGAGTGAGCAAGGACTGTGTTTTTGGATTGTCGAAGAGGATGTTTAATCTTAAAAATAAAAATAAATTTAAAAATCGTCTTGTAATTAGAAAGAAAAAGGAATGAGATCATGTCTTTTCCAGGGACATGGATGAAGCCAGAAGCCATCATCTTCAGCAAACTTAACACAGGAACAGAAAACCAAACACCACATGTTTTCACTCATAAGTGGGAGTTGAACAGTGAGGACACATGGACACATAGAGGGGAACATCACACACCAGAGCCTGTTGGGGGGTGAGGGGTGAGGGGAGGGAACATAGAGGACATGTCAATAGGTGCAACAAACCACCATAGCACACATAAACCTATGTAACAAACCTGCACATTCTGCACATGTATCCAGGTGTTTTTTAGAGGAAATTGATTATTTCCTCAATAAAATATGAACTACCCCAACTCATTCAATATGAAATAGAATATTTGAATACCCCTGTAACTAATAAGGAAATTGATTTCATAGTTTTAAAACCCTAAAAAAGAAATTACCTGGCCTAGGTGGTTTTAGAAGAGAATTTTACCAATAAATTAAGGAAGAATTAGTACCAATTCTATACAATTTCTTCCAGAAAATAGGAGTTTTCAGTTCATTTTATGAAGCCATTATTAGCATGATATCAAAACCAGACAAGGGCAAAACAAAAAAGGAAATGACAGAATAGGATTTTGCATAAATCTAGATTTAACAAGATAAATCTAACAAAATATTAGCAAATAGAATTCAGCTCTAAATAAAAAGAATTATACACCATGACCAAGTGAAGTCTATTTCAGGAATTCAAGGTTAGTTTAATATCCAAAAAGTAATTGATGAAATCCTTCATATTAGCAAGCTTAAGAAGAAAAATCACAAGATCCTATTAATTGGCACATAAATTGGTATTTGACAGAATTCAATACCCATCCATGGTAAAAAGTGTCAGAAAAACATAGGAATAAAGGAGAACTTATTCACCTTAACAAAGTCAATTCTTACCACTTGATATAGTTTCGCTGTGTCCCCACCCAGATCTCACCTTTAATTGTAATAATCCCCACGTGTCAAGGGCAGGGTCAGGTGAAGATAACTGAATCATGGGGGCAATTTCCCCATACTCTTCTCATGGTAGTGAACAAGTCTCAGGAGATCTGATGGTTTTATAAATAGGAGTTCCCCTGCATAAGCTCTCTTGCCTGCCACCATGTAAGACATGACTTTGCTCCTCCTTTGCCTTCCACTATGATTGTGAGGCTTCCCCAGCCATGTGGAACTGTGAGTCAATTAAACCTCTTTCCTTTGTAAATTACTCAGTATTGGGTATTTTTTATTAGCAGCATGAGAATAGACTAATACACCACTCTATTAAACATTGTGCTAGAAGTTCTAGCCATTGCAATAAGGCAATAAAAAAATAAAAAGCATACAAATCAGAAAGGAAGAAATAAAATGATCCCTCCTTGTGAAAGATGCTATTCTCTATGTAGAAAATCCTAATAAATTTACTAAAACACACACCCTTTAGAACTAATAAGTTATGCTAGGCCTCGGAATACAAGATAAATGTACAAAATTAATTGTCCTTCTATATATAAGCAATGATCATGTGAACACCAAAATCACAAATATAATACCACTTAAAATATCTGAAAAAAAAAAAACTTAGTTGTACAGGGTTTGTATGCTCAAAAGCATATAACATGAATAAGAGAATTTTTAAAATATCTAAATGAGTGGAAAGATATAGCATGTTCATAAATTGAAAGCCTCAATAAAGACGTCAGTTCTTCCCAGATTAATATACAAGTTTAACACAATGCCTATCAAAATCCCAGCAAGATCTTTTTCATATATAGACAAGATTATTCCAGAATTTATCTGCAGATGCACTACAATAGCAGAAACAAATTTGACAAACAAGGATAAAGTGGGAGAGATCAGTCTATCTGATTTCAACAACTTTTATATAGCTAGAGTAATCAAGACAGTAGTATTAGAGGAGAAATAAATATATACATCAGTGGAACTGAGGCGAGAACCAAGAAATAGACCACATAAATATGCTCCACTGATTTTGATAGGGAATTCAAAAGCAATTCAATGGAGAAAAAAGAGCCTTTTCAACAAATGGTGCTGGAACAACTGGATATCCATAGGCTAAAAAAATGAACCTTAAACTTACATCTTATACAAAAAATAACTCACAAAAAATTCTGTGTGTATAACTATTTGTAATAGCCATAAACTGGAAATAATCTATATGTCATTGAATGGATGAATTATTAAACAAACTATGGTACATTCATGTCACAGACTCAGCAATTATAACAAGGAATGAACTGCTGATACACAAAACAACATAGATGAATCTCCAATTACTTTGCATTTACAAAAAAAAAAAAAAAGACTGATCCCAGAAGGTTACATACGGTATGATTCCTTTATGTAACATTCTTAAAATAACAAAATAATATAACTTGATAATAGATTAATAATGGTTGCCAGGAATTAAGGAGGGGATGGGAAAGAAGGAAGCAGGTACTATAAGAGGACAACATGCGGGCAGTGTTCTCTATCTTGACTACATCAATGTTAATATCCTGATTGTGATATTGTTCTATGGTTTTGCAAGCTATTTTGGGGAAATTGGGTGAAGAGTTCATGGGATCTCTCTGTATTACTTCTCCCAAATGCATGTAAGTCTACAGTTACCTCAAAATTTAAAAGGTTAATTGAAAATATAGCTGAAATTCTATGGTTAAAAAATGGAATACTATAAAAACAGTGATTTTAAGTGGCTGCAATTATTAGTTTACAAAAGCTCCCTCGAGGAAAACTTCCCTCTCTCAGATGTTGATTTTTTTACTGGTTATAGAAAAAAATCTCATAGCATATATACTGAATCCATTATAATAGAATAAACAGAATAGATTTTTAGAGCAAACAACTACTTTACTTTTTAGTGACCATCTACTTTAACTAGATATATAGGTAAGAAGCTGGGGCCCAGAGTGGCTGTTATATTAGGGAGGCTGAGGTCAGAGTAGGTATGCAAATAAACATGTCCTCTAGGTATTTAGAAATACAAGATTGGAGTAGTGCTTAAAAAAAAAATCATGATCAGAGATGAAGACTTATGATGGTAAAAGTCTTGAACTTTTAAGAAGTTATGAACTTACTAAAAAGAAAAAATATTATTTGTACTATGACAATATACCTAGGACTACGAAGTAGGTACATGATGGACAAAAGTTCACATATTTCATTTCTTTTCTAGACTAAATCCAGCTACTTGCAGAAATATAAAGAAATACAGCACATCTTGGACAGCACCCAGAAATCACCCTTTTGTAATCCAAGGGGATGTTATGGCAAACTCTTCAGAATGGGTTCAGTCTAAGTCCCATGGGTCATTGGAAAGTTTATCACCTCTCAAAGGCCCCAAGAAGAATAAACATTCTCAAATCTGGGCCATAAAGAATGAAGACATAAAACCTCTCAGCAGCAAGTGGGAGACTGCTTCTTCAAGCTTTGGAATGGATGCAAATGTTCTAAAATATAAGAGTCTTCAAGCTGAAGAAACTAACCAGCAAAGCTCTAAGCATACAGCTCTCCATCTAACTAAAAATAAGGATGAGCAGGCCAATAAGAATGATGGACAACCCACCTTA